CACAGTGATTTATTCCTGCTGGTCATGAGCTTAAGAAGGGGAATAAGAGCACTGCAACACAGTCCCTATGGAGAGGGTCCTTGGTATCGGGGGGTTGAAAGGAAATAAGGACAAATGAAGGCTTTTTGGGGATTGAAGAGACTTCAATGCCCATGTGTTAAAATGTGATTGAAACATTTTTCAGAAGATTGACAGAGAACAGCATTTTACAAAGCCAGTCGAGGGGAATACAATCTCAAGCAGTATGTCGCTGATTCAAATATAGATGAATGGTTGGTCATTGTTACACCTGATTTATGGAGGTAGTTGTGGTAGCTAATGCCACATGACCGTGCTTCCAGCTAATTTTTCAATCCACTATATTGTCTCGGAGATTAGCAGCATGAAACTAGGACATGTAAACGTACACTATATTACTGAGCTAAAACTTGGGCATGGATTCAACCTTCTCTGTCACTGTTTTATCTTTTAGCATCAAAGTCAGAAAAAGCACCTGGAGACAGTTCTCTTGTGTCTTTTCTGCAGAATCAGTTAGTCAGCAAAATATGAGCATGTATTAAAGCAGAATAAAATTAGTAGAGAGCGATGTTAAAACAGAAGAAAAAAATTAGTGGAGATGAACAGAACAAATCAGTAGAGAGAGATAATGAAACAAAACAAAAAATTAATAGAGTTGTTAAAACAGTAGAGAGGAGTTAAAACAGAAAAATATTAGTATAAAGGGGTGTTGAAGCAGACAAAAGTGTATAGAGAAGTGTTAAAACAGAAGGGAAAAACAATGCAGAGAGGTGTTGAAACAGAAAAATTTGTAGAGAGAGACAAATGGAGTGTCAGTGTGATAATGAATTCACAGGTTAGTTATTTAGTCAACAGATTATTATCCTCATTGCAGATCAAACCATTCAGTCGATAAGTGCTTGGATCCCCTCCTCAGTAAATCCCGCAGCCTGCGACACTTTTGTTTTGATTTCTTATCTTTCATTGGCTGCTTTCATATGCTCTTGTCTGGCCCCACCCATTTTAACTTGATGTTCTTGCAGTCTGGCCATGATTGTAGATCCACAGTCAATTAGCTCTCGCAAATTCTTATGATTTCACAAGTCCTAGCACATGATATCGGGTATGGGAGCTCACACTCGGTTGGCAGTTGCAATTTTTCAAGGTTTCTTTGCAGGCATAATTTGTTTTCGACCAACAGTTTCATTTTAAAAGTTGAGTTGAATATTCAAGGACTGTCTGAATTACATGAAATAAAAAAAAACTCACCTTGAGTTTGTTGTTTATCTGCTTTATATACAATTGTGTTTATTATGAAGAGTAAATGTCAGTTGTTTTTTATGGCTCTGAAACTTAGAGAACAGCTTAAAAAAGATAAAGCCTTATTACATATTTTTGAAAAGTCTTATGACGAATTTTTTGACCTATCAAGGATGCAAACAGCAGGGAATGGAGCGTGCGAAGAAACAAGAAAATTCATTGTTTAAATAACCTTTGATTACTGGGCATCATGTGAGCTAATGGACTGAAATGGCTGGGGTATACTGAATGTTTCATGACAGAGAGGGGAAAACTATACACAAGGGAGCTGAATGGTCATAGACCATGAGGCAGACCAAGAAGGCAAAGGAGATATTATCTAAAGAGACCTACAAACACTTAGTGTCACCAACTGGAAAGAGAAGGCCAACCTGAGAGAGGAGTAGTGGCGGGTAATATCTGCAGCAGCGAACCACAAGAGCTCGAAATGCTGAAGAAGTTTCAGTGCACACAGATCATTCCTGTAAGTGCTCACTGTCCATAAATGCTAGTTGTACCTCTGGTCAGCCAGACATGACAACAGTTCTTGTGTGGTATAGGGTCTATACTTTGTTCTCCACTCCACAGCTGGTAACATTCATCAAAACATGTGTCACCAGCTTATCATTTATTGTCGACTGATTCCCTCTGCTCATCTCAGACCCATTGATAGGAGCTTCTAAAGCCAGCACACAGTGTTTGAGGGAAAAATTATAGACTCACTATGCCACTAACAAGCATGTCCTAGAATAAGATTAATTACGGATGTTTCCTTCCAGGTAAGAGTGCATCTGCCTAAGAGGTGAGGAACTAAAAGTCCAGATCTGTAAAATGGATGTGCACACAATACTCAAGTTCTGGAACAATACTGAAGTGGATGAACAACTATAACTTTCTGCCAGAGTTTACAGCGGGTGAACTAGAAGAAGAAGCTAGTGTATCAACAACTGTTTAGCAGGACCTGGACAGCAGATCAACACAAGTTCCTGAAGGCTAAAGGAAATTCCTGTGTTTTTTTTTTTTTTGCAACTCTGAAGGGCTGGTGTGTGATTACTATGTTTATCAAATAGATTTATACACAAATTAAACTACAGTTTCATTAATTTGCAACACATTTTTTTTTTATTTTAATTAATTATCATTTTGAAGATAAATTAATGTGCTATTAGAAATATAATAATAATAATGAAAATAATAATATATAACACACTAACTGATCTTCAAAATGATAATTTAAAAAAATGTTTTGCAAATTAATTAATAAAATAGTTTAATTTGTGAATAAATCTACTTGATAAACACAGTGAACACACACAGGCCTCTCGGAGTTGCACAAAAACGGGAATTTCCATAGACATGTATGGCCTTATAAAATTTATGAATGGGAAGGGAAGTCACTCTCTTTCCTGGCCCGAAAACGTGAGATGTACCAACCCATGCCGTCTTAACGCATGGGAACCTGACCACTGACCTCAAATAGGGGTCCCTAAATATAAGTTTAATACTATTAACCATTGACATTTCATCTCTGTCAGTGGATGTCGTAGGGACCCCAGCACACTGGTTTTTCTGGGGTCCCATGGGGGACTGGTGAGAACTAGAGAAGAGCTCCACGAGAGGGTTGCTCTCAACGCTCAGGGGAAGGATGAGATGGATATACAATCATACGGTTACTGGTACCATTGGAAATGGAACTCTTTGCTTGCTGCTGAAGATGGGGACTGCGCACTTATGGGAGTGTTCCGAGTCCTGTGATGTCTATTCTTAATTTAACATTGAACATTTAGTTTAAAAACGGAATATTGAGTGCATTTGGCGTAATTTTTCACCGGCAAAGGGGCGGGAGTCGGCTCTGTGGCTAAGTCGATACGAACGCTTTGTAGTGCCGGGTTCGATCCCAGCTGCGGACCATGCTCCTTGCGTTGGTTTCGATAGTGGTATCAGGGGGCCGACCGCCCAGAAGCAATGCAAACTACTGGACGTAAATTGCCTAGAAAACCAGACTACGGCCAGGAGCTGCTGGGGTTGGTTCTGCAACGTCCCGTAAAGGATGGGAGCGAAACAATTATGGGAAAACCTATTTACAGTGTAGTTGAAACACCGATAACCTACCCATCCACCTATCTTATTACCGCACGCCACCCCCCCCCCCTTTTCCATTCTCCATTTTTCTATTTCCCTAGTTACCCCATAGAAGCTTTGAGGGAAAATGGGTGGAAGTGACGTGAGGATCATCCGTGTGCTCTTTCGAATTTGTTCGTAAGTTGATCTTCATAATTAAGTAATCTTCCTATTCTTCCTCGCGTTTACCGGCTGTAACATCCGGGGGGAAAGTTCTGGCTGTTTATCTACCTCTGGACTTAACTCATGTTCCAGAACGCGAGTGTAGCATGTACATCAGTTTTACACATCTGGCTTATTTGTATAGAGACTGTTAGTTCCTTTCCTCTCAGGCAGATGCTCTCCAACTTCGAATGAGAACTGAGTAATCAATCAAAGTTGCAACATCACAGAAAACAGGTCACCTTATAGTTTTTCCCGGCGTGATGCTGACCACATCACCCATCTTGTGCCGACTGGTCTATAAAATATAGATCTAGCCCTATATGCCTAAAGGCGTGGAAAAGGGTCCTTTACTTTACTTATAGTTGTTCCGTCCATGTACCAACGAACAACGAAAACTGCAGAGAATGTCAATCACTGTACATTGTGAAAAAAAAAGGTTAACATAGACTGCAGGCTTAGCAAATCCAATAGCAGACACACGCATTATATGCATAAGGCAGCCGCCCGAAGTGCCAACACAAATAAATTAGTATCTTCAAGGTTATGCTTGATGCCGTCTTTCCATCTTGTGCTTGGGGTTCCCGTCGGTCTCTCTCTCTCTATCTCTCTCTATCTCTCTCGCTCTCTCTCTCTCTCTCTCTCTCTCTCTCTCTCTCTCTCTCTCTCTCTCTCTTTCTATCTGTCTCACTGTCATATTTTTTTCTCAATTTTGGCGCTCTATGACTATCAGTACCATGGTATTCCTTTACAAGACGTATGCTTCGCTGCGGATGACACGAGTGAGGAGTATTGTCTGGATTTTTTCACCGGGTCACTCCTGTGTGTTGGGAAATGAACAGGCGGACAGACTGGCTGGCTCTGCGCAACTTGGTGGAATACTGATACATAAGGCAGACGTGGTTAGTGCCTTGTGGAAGAGCGTGTACAATTTGGAGGAGCAGATGGATTACCACAGTCTGGTGAGATTGATGCAGAAGGGAGTGATGAGAGGTTCTGGCAGATGCTCGAGGCTCAAAGGAAAGGTAAGACGGACGTTTAATCAGAATGCTACTGGCACCATTAGTATCGGAACTTTTCGCTGACTGCTAAAGATGGGGACGGAGCGCTTATGGGAATGCCCCGAGTGCTGTGATGTCGGTTCTTGAATCAAGACAAATCCAATCAATCAAGACGCAGTAGCCCACACTTCTAGTGACCTCACCTGCCCCCCAGAAATAAGAAATACGTGAATGCGGCGCAGTGAGCGGCGGCCATGTTTGTGAGGGAAGCGATGAAAAACATGGAAGGGCACGGCTAGGGTACAAGGTGTCATCATGCTAGTGTCTCCCAGTTGATGATGTTCACCGCCGCCTTTATACTGTCGTCTTTCACAGCACATACAGTCATGTCACAGACATAGAATTACAGCAGTCGACACGATGATGAATTTGTTGGGTCGGTTTGGGTAAGTGTCAGCCGTAATTAAATTATGACATTTAATCGCCGCCAAGATATTTTATAAATAATTTGATGTTTACAGTTATGGTGTTATGAACATCTCTAGCAGTCAGTAAATTAGACCAGACACTCTGCGCCTGATCCGATGTCGAGATAGCTAATTTGTTTGCGGGCAAAATCACGTAATGTAATTAAATTTGAGATCTCTATTTCCGGGTAGATCTTGAAACATGTAATCACCAAGAATAGATAGAATCAGAAATGGGCTGTTAATTTATAGTTGAGTTCGGATATTAATTATTAAATTAGATACAAGTCAAATTTTTAAAACCAATAAAACCCGCACAGTTAGATAGCTGTAAACACTCTCTTTCCAACAGTACCTCATTTAGGCTTGTATGTCATTTCTGAGCTGAGATATGTAGGTTTTTGTGGAAATGAGATGTAAAAAACAGCTGTTGAAAAACTTGCGTCTCAGAAACAAGAAGTTTTCTCTGCGCAACCAAACTGTGCACTTTCGTTTTGGTTTTGTTTTTATTGGACAAGATGGCAGACAATTTTTCTCAGACACAGCCACATAATAGTGATTGCCTGAAAAATGTCACTGTAAATCGAAATAGCCACTGATAAGAAATAAATTTTATACACAAATGTAAAATTGGACGGAGAATTCAATTATAACTAGCATTACCATGTTTGGTAATATTTAAGGCCTAAAGCCAACCTTGAATACTTAGCGCTATTTTCAATCAAACTGATGTAACAGAAAAACAGGACGTCCGGCTGTCGTAGACATGCGATGTTAATTGGGTTCGTTCCCGCCGTTTTCAGCTAATCATAGCTGGTGAAAATCACACCAATCGCAAAATTCCATGAGATACTCTCGGATATGGCACTATAGTCGCAGGAAAACAGTCATGAACTACTTCTTGTGTCGCAACTGCCAGCGTGGTCGCATTCGAAACAGTCAAGGGGTTGTCGGGATAGTGGAGCGCCATAGTGGCGGCTGCTGGTTTGAAGTTGTCCTGAGGCGACTTCTGGTTTGAAGTTGTCACGAGGCGACGTGCACGTACATTAAAATGCACATCATTGATTGTGTCTCGCCTGGAACGAGAATCGGGGGCAAGCTGCGCACTGTTGAAATGGCGGACAGACAGAAAAAAACAGATTTTGGGGCACTATTTGCAACTTCTGTGCCATAATTTTCACATATAAAGGATTTAACTGCCTGTAAGTGCCCGGCTCTCTAGCAGAATTGACTAAACCGGATTTCGCGGAGACCGGGTGACATACTCCTTGTGGTCCGGGTTCAATCCCGGGGGTAGGCAGGAAAGCCACATTTTCTCCCAGATTTACGGTATTTACAATGGAATCAAGGCCGAAAGGTTGCGATATCCATAATACCGAGCCTAAGGTTTTGTTCTGGATACTAAAACAAACAAACAACTGTCTGTAAGTAGTAGACTTCACCCTTTTACTCATACTTTTCGTTCCTTATATTTTCCGAGCTACAACTTTTAAATCTTTGTAGGGTAGGACGTAAATGAGGCTCTGTTAGGGTTTACTTTCTGCGTAGATCATTTGGGACCATTTTTCAAAGAAGAGCCTGATTTCCTATCCATAGTTCCTAGATTACCAACTTCTTCCGTTTGTAATTTTTATGGTCTTCACTACTTATACCAGGTTGTAGCCCAGTTTGGTAGTTTTCTGTATTTATCTTCTCCTCTAATTTTCTCGCTATCTTGTGTATAGTTCGGTTTTGATCAAGAATATACCCTATGGTCTGGTTTTACTGAAACAATTAATTACTGAAGCAGTTAGGGACAGTTTAATTTCAATATTGTTTTTTTTTTTATAACATATCACAAAGAAGGATTTGTTTCTGAGAAAGTTTTGTATTTTTTACAAAATAATATTTACATTTCTCCTTCTTCTTTTGTACATGCAATAATGAAATATTAGGTGTTTTCGGAGGCCCCATTTGGGGAGTGAAAGTTGCCATAGAAAAAAGATCTAGTGCTGTTTATAACCTCGTTGTCAAAAGGTGGCTAATTAAATTATTGTTGAATCTGATGTGTTGAGCCAAAAAGTGCAAATGTCCCCACCTACAAACCACAACACAACATGCAAACTTTCCTTTTAACCCTTTATAATTCTTCGTCATCCAAAGATCTCGTTACCAGCCAAACAACGGATGATCAACAGCATTTTCATCCCTACGTTATGTTATCAGTGCCAAACGTGGACAATGAACAAATCACATATGCAAAAAATAACTACGAGTGAAATGCGATGTCTCCAAAGAGTCACCAACAATACACGAAGAGACAGAGTCACAAACGACAGCATTAGAGACAAAGTTGGAACAAGAGCATGCATGAAACATATTGAAAGACAGAGAATGAAGTGGTTTGGCCATTTAGTAAGAATGCAACCGGATCAGATTGCCTATAAGGCCTTTTACAATAGAACATCGGGAAGAAAGGCCAGAGGAAGACCCAGGAAAAAATGGATAGATGGAGTAGCTGAATACGGCCAGAAGATCCAGAAAACTGTCACTCAAATCACGCGAGAGGCTCAAAACAAATATTTTAAACCACGACACTGGGCTACAACCCGTTAAAAGTGAAGAAGACAATAGATAGATAGATAGATAATTCCAGGAAGAATTTGATGCTAACAGAAAAAAAAAATTGTTTAACCTCCATCACTAATAAATTCTTTAAAGATGTATTTATCAGTTTTTTAAAATTCTTTTTCAAAATATAAAAAGATGAACAAAAACAGGGTGAAATATTAAAAAGAATACATCCCAAGGGTCTTAAAAAAAATGACACATGCATCAGATGACCCATGCCATGACCCTATAACCTCTGTCACTGAATATTACAGGAAAATCTGACGTCAACCTGGCTTTTAAAAAGCCATATAGCTCAAAGGTGCCCCCTCCCCCTTGCTATTGTTGGATAAAGTAGTCATGTCCTGAACTAAGCATTTGTGTAGGCGCAAACTCAGCCAGTAGCATTAACTGTGCATCTCGTAAATAGGTCACTGTAGACACGTTAAATAAAAGAGACATTTACGGGGAATTGGATCGAGTCGGAAGTGTCAGTTTTTTAAATTCTCAGGGTGAAAGGTTAATGGGTGCAAGAAGAATGTGAAAGATAAAAGTGAAATAATGTTCTCAGACATCTGCCCTGATTGTCTCAGCACACTTGTGTTTATTACTTCCCTGTCTAATTGTCCTAACCCACGTATGTCTTTGATCTGTTTCAGCCCCGTATGTGAGCAGTTATTCCCCAAGAAACCAGGACAATATATTGTATTAGCAACACAATCACAGACTCTTCGGTGCCGTGCTGCCGCCACAATCTCCGGCACATCCACTGTGCCAGTCGCCCCATCACCAAATGTAAACGCGCTAACACCCGCACAGTTGGCCAGATTACATGTTCGCCAGTTCCACACGGTGGGGATCAGTGGCAGGAAGGTGAGGCCGAGGTTTCTGCTTGAGCCTGATGGCAGCCTCAAAGCCAGCAGCTACCGTGAGATCGGCACCCTGATTCGGATTGTTGGAGGACTGGGCAGGTTTCTGAAAGTCCGCTACTTAGTTCTGTTTGGGGGTGCAGGTGGAGGCTATGCCGCCAGTCAGGTGAATATCTTTGTAATAAGTTCTCGTGTTTTCCTTGATGCATATTCTGGGGCCCCATTTTGAATAGACTCACTGCCCCCACCTTTACCTCAATCCTCCAACAAGCAAATAGAAAAATTGACCAGTTGAGGGTGTTTCTTTCAAAGTTGGAGTGAATCTTGCTTGTGAGGCAGACTGCTTACAAATGAGCATGTATGTTGGCTTTCCCAAAACTGCGGTCTGTTTTAGAGGGACATCACTGAACATTTGGTGCTTTATTAATATCCCACCCCAGATGACGTCACAGGACTGTCAAACATTTTAGAGGGTGGAAAGACTGGATTTCCCCGCTTTCTGATGCTTTTAACGACCCCAAAACATCTAGAACTGGCCCTAAACCCAACCCACCTACGTCCCAGTAGAGAGTGCAGCCTAGGTCTCACGACTGCATGCAGCCTATCTATCAACCCCTGAAATATTAGACCGTCCTGTGACCTGTGGATTTCCCCTGTTTAGGGTGGGATATTAATAAAGCACCGAACATTCTTTGTGGTATTCGATGGCACAGGAATAGAGCAATTTTGGGTATGACCTGTTTGTAGTGAGTTTGGTAATATAGTGTTCCTGTTGGGGTTCCGAGGGCCCCATTGTGGGGGGGGGGGGGGGAGATGAATAGACCAATTGCACCCTAACCAGCATGTCGTAAGAGCTGAGAGGCAAGGAACCAACAGTCTGCATACAAATAAGCCAGATCTATAAAATAGATGTTCAGGCAAAAATCAGTTCTGAAAGAAGACTAAAGTCCAGAACAACTAGAATTTTCTGTCGGAGTTTACAGCCGGTGAATGCAAAGAAAAAAGTAGAGGTATTGAAATTAACTGATTTAACTACATTCCTATGATGACAGATTGGCATGCATATTTCTCTTGAAATGTTGGTGAAATGCTTGTGGTATTGAGATGTTGGTGAAATGCTTGTTGCATTGAGATGTTGGTGAAATGCTTGTTGCATTGAGATGTTGGTGAAATGCTTGTGGTATTGAGATGTTGGTGAAATGCTTGTTGTATTGAGATGTTGGTGAAATGCTTGTGGTATTGAGATGTTGGTGAAATGCTTGTGGTATTGAGATGTTACTGAAATGCTTGTGGTATTGAGATGTTACTGAAATGCTTGTGGTATTGAGAATTTGGTGAAATGCTTGTGGAATTGAGATGTTACTGAAATGCTTGTTGTATTGAGATGTTGGTGAAATGCTTGTGGTATTGAGATGTTACTGAAATGCTTGTGGTATTGAGATGTTACTGAAATGCTTGTGGTATTGAGAATTTGGTGAAATGCTTGTGGAATTGAGATGTTACTGAAATGCTTGTTGTATTGAGATGTTGGTGAAATGCTTGTGGTATCTACATTACAGCAAGTGGAGAAGATCAAGAGCTACATCCCGGATATGGAGTGGATGAAGCAGTATATCCCTGACTCCGACACCATCAATGAGTGGATACCTGATTGGAGGAGCTGGCATGTCAGGGAACAGGCTGCCGTGTCTTTCAGAACCTTGCTACAACAAGTCTCAGAGGTCATGCCTGAGAGGGTTGGTTACTGTGTGTTGCATGTGTAGTTTATTGTATGTGTAGTCTCCTGCGTGTTGTACGTTCTCCTATGTGTTGTAAATGTAGTTTACTGTATGTGTTGTTTGTTGTATATTCAGTCTCTTTTTTGTTGTATATTAAGTTTACTATATGCAGCCTCCAACATGTTGTATGTGTAGTTTACTGCATATGCAGTCTCCTGTGTGTTGTATATTTAGTTTACTGTATGTGCAAGTCTCCTAGGTTTTGTAGTTGTAGTTTACTGTATGTGCAAGTCTCCTAGGTTTTGTAGTTGTAGTTTACTGTATGTGCAGACTCCTACGTTTTGTAGTTGTAGTTTACTGTATGTGCAGACTCCTACGTTTTGTAGTTGTAGTTTACTGTATGTGCAGACTCCTACGTTTTGTAGTTGTAGTTTACTGTATGTGCAGACTCCTACGTTTTGTAGTTGTAGTTTACTGTATGTGCAGACTCCTACGTTTTGTAGTTGTAGTTTACTGTATGTGCAGACTCCTACGTTTTGTAGTTGTAGTTTACTGTATGTGCAGACTCCTACGTTTTGTAGTTGTAGTTTACTGTATGTGCAAGTCTCCTACGTTTTGTAGTTGTAGTTTACTGTATGTGCAGACTCCTACGTTTTGTAGTTGTAGTTTACTGTATGTGCAGACTCCTACGTTTTGTAGTTGTAGTTTACTGTATGTGCAGACTCCTACGTTTTGTAGTTGTAGTTTACTGTATGTGCAAGTCTCCTACGTTTTGTAGTTGTAGTTTACTGTATGTGCAGACTCCTACGTTTTGTAGTTGTAGTTTACTGTATGTGCAGACTCCTACGTTTTGTAGTTGTAGTTTACTGTATGTGCAGACTCCTACGTTTTGTAGTTGTAGTTTACTGTATGTGCAGACTCCTACGTTTTGTAGTTGTAGTTTACTGTATGTGCAAGTCTCCTACGTTTTGTAGTTGTAGTTTACTGTATGTGCAGACTCCTACGTTTTGTAGTTGTAGTTTACTGTATGTGCAAGTCTCCTACGTTTTGTAGTTGTAGTTTACTGTATGTGCAGACTCCTACGTTTTGTAGTTGTAGTTTACTGTATGTGCAAGTCTCCTAGGTTTTGTAGTTGTAGTTTACTGTTTGTGCAAGTCTCCTAGGTTTTGTAGTTGTAGTTTACTGTTTGTGCAGACTCCTACGTTTTGTAGTTGTAGTTTACTGTTTGTGCAAGTCTCCTAGGTTTTGTAGTTGTAGTTTACTGTTTGTGCAAGTCTCCTAGGTTTTGTAGTTGTAGTTTACTGTATGTGCAAGTCTCCTACGTTTTGTAGTTGTAGTTTACTGTATGTGCAAGTCTCCTAGGTTTTGTAGTTGTAGTTTACTGTATGTGCAAGTCTCCTAGGTTTTGTAGTTGTAGTTTACTGTATGTGCAAGTCTCCTAGGTTTTGTAGTTGTAGTTTACTGTATGTGCAAGTCTCCTAGGTTTTGTAGTTGTAGTTTACTGTATGTGCAAGTCTCCTACGTTTTGTAGTTGTAGTTTACTGTATGTGCAAGTCTCCTACGTTTTGTAGTTGTAGTTTACTGTATGTGCAGACTCCTACGTTTTGTAGTTGTAGTTTACTGTATGTGCAAGTCTCCTACGTTTTGTAGTTGTAGTTTACTGTATGTGCAGACTCCTACGTTTTGTAGTTGTAGTTTACTGTTTGTGCAAGTCTCCTAGGTTTTGTAGTTGTAGTTTACTGTTTGTGCAAGTCTCCTACGTTTTGTAGTTGTAGTTTACTGTATGTGCAGACTCCTACGTTTTGTAGTTGTAGTTTACTGTTTGTGCAAGTCTCCTAGGTTTTGTAGTTGTAGTTTACTGTATGTGCAGACTCCTACGTTTTGTAGTTGTAGTTTACTGTTTGTGCAAGTCTCCTACGTTTTGTAGTTGTAGTTTACTGTTTGTGCAAGTCTCCTAGGTTTTGTAGTTGTAGTTTACTGTTTGTGCAAGTCTCCTAGGTTTTGTGGTTGTAGTTTACTGTTTGTGCAAGTCTCCTACGTTTTGTAGTTGTAGTTTACTGTATGTGCAAGTCTCCTACGTTTTGTAGTTGTAGTTTACTGTATGTGCAGACTCCTACGTTTTGTAGTTGTAGTTTACTGTATGTGCAGACTCCTACGTTTTGTAGTTGTAGTTTACTGTATGTGCAAGTCTCCTACGTTTTGTAGTTGTAGTTTACTGTTTGTGCAAGTCTCCTACGTTTTGTGGTTGTAGTTTACTGTTTGTGCAAGTCTCCTAGGTTTTGTGGTTGTAGTTTACTGTTTGTGCAAGTCTCCTAGGTTTTGTGGTTGTAGTTTACTGTTTGTGCAAGTCTCCTACGTTTTGTAGTTGTAGTTTACTGTATGTGCAGACTCCTACGTTTTGTAGTTGTAGTTTACTGTATGTGCAGACTCCTACGTTTTGTAGTTGTAGTTTACTGTATGTGCAAGTCTCCTACGTTTTGTAGTTGTAGTTTACTGTTTGTGCAAGTCTCCTACGTTTTGTGGTTGTAGTTTACTGTTTGTGCAAGTCTCCTAGGTTTTGTGGTTGTAGTTTACTGTTTGTGCAAGTCTCCTAGGTTTTGTGGTTGTAGTTTACTGTTTGTGCAAGTCTCCTACGTTTTGTGGTTGTAGTTTACTGTTTGTGCAAGTCTCCTAGGTTTTGTGGTTGTAGTTTACTGTTTGTGCAAGTCTCCTACGTTTTGTAGTTGTAGTTTACTGTATGTGCAAGTCTCCTACGTTTTGTAGTTGTAGTTTACTGTATGTGCAAGTCTCCTACGTTTTGTAGTTGTAGTTTACTGTTTGTGCAAGTCTCCTACGTTTTGTAGTTGTAGTTTACTGTATGTGCAAGTCTCCTACGTTTTGTGGTTGTAGTTTACTGTATGCGTAGACATATTCTTTATGGTGAATTAAAGGCAGGTAGAAGACGTCGAGGCCGACCTCTACTACGGTATAAAGATGTGTGCAAGCAGGACATGAATGATACAGGTATTGAGGTGGGCTTATGGGAACAAAATGCCATGGACCGTGTTGTGTGGAAAGGGCATATCAGGAAAGGAATGAGAATGAAGGAATAAATGATTGCAGAAAGGATGAGAGCCGAGCGTCCTAAAATCCCATGCTGTCATTGTGGAATACTTTTCTTGACACGGGCAAGTCTTGCTGGTCACACTCGCCATCACCATGGGCTGTGAGTCCCATTCCTCCTCATAGCGCAATATAACACCATCGCCTGTAAAGACGGAAAGGTACCAATCAAATCAATCAATTAGACTTGTGTGTTGTGTGTGTAAGTTATTGTGCGGTCTGTTGTGTGTGTGTAGTTTGCTTAATGTTGTATGTGTAGTCTACTGTGATTTCTCTAATTAGTTTACTGAATGTTACAGGAGGGGGCTTCAGAAAAAAAAAAAATCTCAAAAGTGTTATTGAAAGTACAATAACCATGCCATTGTCCTGTAACATGTCTATTTTTGTTGTTAAGATGTCAAGAATATTAAGCACCTGACATGGTGCAGACAAACATGATGACAGCATAAAGATGGTATTTCAGTTTTGACGTGCACGAAAGAGGAACAGCGTTCTGTTATCTGTTTTTGATCAGTAGACGTATATACAATATATTTAGCATATTGCATGTTGTATGCGTAAATATGCTGTGAATTCTGTGTGTTATCTGGTAGTGTATAGTTTGCTGTTGTCTAGTGTCTGACTGTTAGACACAACAATATTGTCTCACCACAGAGGTAAAAAGAGAAGCATGACAAGGATGTATGCTATCCCCAGCCTTTTCAACTTTTATATACAGAATTTTTAAGCACTTATGGACTTAATATATAAAGCCACAGTTTTTGTACATAAATGAATTGATACCTTCATTTTGAACATCAAGGAAGATTGGCTAATAAACAGCATCCTTTCTCGAAAGCAGAAATATTTTGGTCATATCAAGCGCCACGACGGATGGGAACAAATTATAGCAGAAGGCATGGTACCAGGAAGGAGGGGTAGGGGCCAACCAACACGAAGATGGGCACAGAATATAAGTGACTCCTTGAGTATGAAAGTACATGAGGCGGGAAAACTGGTGAGAGACCAAGTTTCTTTCAGGCAGACTGTGATGAGAGTGACGTTCTGCAAAGGACCTGCTAGATGATGATGACCTTCCTTATCTTATGTTTTTAGCTAAAAATAGGGAGTATATTTTTTGTCTTGTAATTTACAATTATTGCCGCAGTTTTATATACTCTGATTATTGTGTAAAATCTGTCAGGGATGGTTGAAAGACAAGCTTCAGGACCTGCCAGACTTTCGCACCAAAATAACGGAACTAAGAGAGAAGCTCAAGGCTTCCTTGCCATCAGAGTTCTCCACAACTATCATTGAAGGTAAGGACACTGGTTTTCTCAGATTATCTTTATGAGTATCTCATCTCATATCCTTGTGATCCTCTTGTGACGTGCAGTGTTGAGGTAAAGTATAATTTACAGGAAAGAGCACGTTTGTGTGCTTCATTCATTGGGATTCCCATTGACTCTGTAATTGGCTCTATCCATCGCTTGCATTGTCAGCCTCTTCTTCATTTCCCGCCTGGTCAGTACATCATTGCCTGCTGTGGTATACTCTCTGCTGACGTCCGCGTTACATGGCCAAACCATTTCACTTGTTTTCTTCTAATTAAATCTAGAGCAGCTGCTACCCCGTTTTTCTTCGAATTTAATAATTTCTGATCTCGTCTCTTGTTATAAATGTTTGTTTAATCACATGTAATGTTTGTCTCGGCTTTTGTCACCGGACACAGTGTAATTAAGTTGCTCATGATCAGAGCCTTTACCTTGTTGACCTGGACGCCACGAGCCTGGCATTTCTGCTGTTTCTACCTTCTCTTAAAGGCCACAAAACTGACATATGTTTCATTGAAGCATAGTTTTGTGCAGGCCTGGATGTGAATATATTGTCTAATAATAGCATTTAGGACAGTTTTCTTGTGAACAAATTCCTTTTCAAAAGCTATGTTGACATAACATTTTCACTTGTCAGAAATGGTTTAATTAGACAACACAAGCTCTATTGTCATCAAATGTTTCTTTGCTACTAAATTTTCCATTATTAATAATTGTTCCATTCAACACCCATTGTCACCAAATGTTCCATTGTCACCAAATGTTCCATTGTTACCAAATGTTCCATTGTCACCAAATGTTCCATTGTCACCAAATGTTCCATTGTCACCAAATGTTCTATTGTCACCAAATGTTCCATTGTCACCAAATGTTCCATTGTCACCAAATGTTCCATTGTCACCAAATGTTCCACTGTCACCAAATGTTCCATTGTCACCCACATGTTCCATTGTCACCAAATGTTCCATTGTCACCAAATGTTCCATTGTCACCAAATGTTCCATTGTCACCAAATGTTCCATTGTCACCAAATGTTCCATTGTCACCAAATGTTCCATTGTCACCAAATGTTCCATTGTCACCAAATGTTCCATTATCATTAATTGTCCCTGTAGACATCATATACATGAAGTGTTCCATTTTCATCAAATGTTCAATTAGACTTTGCATCTTCAATTATTATCCCCATCTATACACTTGGGTAAGGTAGGGAAGTGAGGTGGGTGGGCTGGCTGCTTGTCAACGCTGTGGTAGTTTCTACAGTATTGATCTGTTTGTGTAAACTGTAGTTAAACCATGACGTCTGCATCTTCCGCTGACTCTCCATGTCATTTGTCTTCCATTTTTTCCACATGCAGGCATCAGTACAACCAGGATGGTTACAACCGCTCAAGCCCAAGGTGTGTAGATTTCAAGAGCAGACTTTCCTCTTTTGAACATTTTGTTCATTATCTCGTTTCACATTCATTTCTGTTGCTGTTGACAATTTTGAGTAGAGATAACAGTGAAAGTTGTACCTGAGGCCCTGCAGGTGTGTGCCTGCTTGCGTGTGTGTGTTTTACATCACAGTTTCAGTAAATATTCCCAATTTAAGAACAACAAACTTCAAATGGGGGCAGGCTGGTCATGTATGCCATCATGAAGCACTCATGTACAATAACACACATTAAGAGAAAAAAAAAGTGCCATCCACTCTATCAGATGTGAACAGAATCTTGGAGGAGATGATTACCATTTACTTGACCGGTATGGGCAGATCAGCCATCATTCTACGCCTCAGGACAGGAGATAACAAACTTATCAAGCGTAGGCACAGGCTTCATCTAAGTAATTCACCACTGTATCCTTGTGGGTTGTGTGTGCATGTCCTGCAAAAATGTCCCTTGTTCAGCCCATTAAGAAGAGAAAACTGACCCAGGGAGTCAACTTCATACAGAAAGTTGTATGAAACTAAAAAAAAACCACACACACACACACAAAAGTCAGTTTTATCACAAGAACACGTCGGTGTAGATCAGAGAGTGACTACAAGTATAAGAAGAAGAAGAAAGGCACTTACAACGGAGCACACTCTGAAATAGGTCCAAACATCCCAGGAACTTTTATCCTTGACATTTGTCATGGACTAATTAATATATCTAACAAAATGTCTTAAGCATAAAGGAAACGGTCAGTCTAACTGAAACCTAAATATAATTCTGCCCTCGTCACTACCACAAGGTAAACGACTATGCACAAATACTGACCAAGCATTTGTCGCTATAACATACCATTCTAAACATTAGGGGGGGGGCCTGGGAGGCTGCGTGGTCTTGAGGCGTGGTGTCTGCCTCAAGTGCTAGAGGTTCCAGGTTCAATCCCCCGGTAAGGGCTGGGATTTTTTTCACGTTTACTTGGACTTCTAGTAATTCCCCCTGGTCTTTGGGTAGTGAGATCAGACGCCCGTGTGCGTTGTTGCGCACATAAAGAATCCCTTGGTAGTTGGAAATTTAAAAGAGTAACCACGGCGCTGCCCGGGCAAAATTTGGAGTTAAACTACCCACAGTATTTCTGGATCCTTGCCGGTGCTACAGAGCCTGTGCACTGTGCTGAGCTTCTTCAGACTCAGACTTGAGTTACTACCCGTTGTGATGTTGATCCCTTGTTCAAACCTCTAACCTTTGAACAGCAATTTGGTAGGATGTGCTGTGTTCAGGGGTTAGCCTCGCTCATCAGTCTATTGCTTGTGCAGCAGAAAGAAGGTCACTGTTTTAAAATTCTAAATTCTTGTGTTCAATCTTGAAGGGGTAAAGCTATGTTGTTGTTTACAGCTAGGCTGCAGTATCTGTGGCCCCCTGCATCTTTTATGAGATGTTTGTTAGGGGTAGCTGGTCTGTTTGTTCCCTAATCAAATTGGGCTTGGAACCAGATAACTTTAGGTTTATAGACAAAATGTCTATATAGTTGCATTTATAATACCGGTAAATGATTTCATAGAACATTAAAGAATCAAATGGTTTGGTCATCTAGTCAGAATAGAACAAATTAAGCCTGTGCCTAACGTGTACTACATGAGAACAACAGGTTACAAGACAAGAGGCCGATTAAAAATGAGATGGGTGGAGAAAGTAAAAAATGAGACTACACAGACGACGTATGACATTAATACAAGCTACACATCTAGTAAAAGACAAGAAACTACATCTAGCTCCTCTGTGTGACGCTTTAAGGCGTAAGCAGTAGGACAGAACAAGAAGACTACAGTAAAGAAGTGTCATGGCTAGTCTGATCCCTGATTGTATGTGAGTTGTTTGACTGGGGTAAAATTGGTAGAGTGGGTCACACCTGCTTGGGCCTTCTGCGGAAAGTTTGAATTGTCGTTCTGAAGTCTGCACACTGAGGGTCAAGGTGTAGGTTGCTTATATCTGCATCTTTTCCTTGTAAATTTCTGTGCATATATACTTTTATTTGTTATTGTTTTTCACGTGTTATAAATTAGTTTTCTAGTTATGCTCACATAAGCATACTGTTTTTAATGTGTACATAAATAACGGTTTATAATGTGTGCACATTTTGTATTGGTTTTTTGTGTGTACATGTTATAAGATGTAGGTTGTCATTAAAAATGTAATTCTCTTGGTTGAACAAAAATAAATTTATTGTGATAATAGTCAGGTTGTGACTTAATGACCACACAATTCTGAAGATAAAATCATGACAACATTATGACTATTGACAAAAAAGGCACACAATACAAATCCTGATATTCTATTTATTTAGTAAATCTAAGCATATCTGGTTAATCTCAACCCTACCAGACCGGAGGCCCTGAACCTAACTGTCCCTATAACCTGAGCTCCTGGGCATTAACCCTACCAGACCTGAGGCCCTGAACCTAACTGTCCCTATAACCTGAGCTCCTGGGCATTAACCCTACCAGACCTGAGGCCCTGAACCTAACTGTCCCTATAACCTGAGCTCCTGGGCATTACCACGATAAAATCAACATGATATACAAAAATATTGGTTACATGCAGACGAGTGGCTAGAATATGATGAAACTCGGAGACATTGTAGAGAATATGCTTATCTTTTATCTAGCGCCAATATTCCACCTTTGTGTGCGAATTCACTCATCAGGATCAACTTTGTTTCACAAAGTGAACACCAGATGTTGCCGTTTGATGGACACACCCCCTTCTCCCACTATTGATCTATTTCAAGATTTATAATTTTCAAGATTTTCTTCATCATTCGCGCTCTCACTGACAGTGTCATTTCGAGAACGTATTCTTTATGAAATTATCACAGATAATGAATATATGTATATATATATATATATCACAGAATCTGAATAAACCAAAGTAACGGTCACCTGTTGGACTGTGAAAAGCCTAGAACTTGGTTCATCAGCCGCTCGTTTCATTGTGAATGTACAGAATTGTTCCACATAAAACAACACAAATATAATCCAAACACATGCAGGCAGACATTTGCAATGTCTAACAAAGAGGATTGATAACGATTGGGTGGTTATTTTTAGTCCGTGGCGCATCGTTTTCCAGTACTACACAAAAAGCTGAAGATTAGGGCCAGCGGTATAGAGACAGGTTAAGAAATTCCCTGTAAACTGGGCCAGCGGTCTGGTAGGCTTAAACTGATCCATCGCAAAGTTTAACATAGGCGTAGCTGGGACTAACCAGTGCATCATTGCCATATGTCAGCCTCTCTGGGATTTCTAATGTTGGCAAGACTAAAATATCAGGACCCCAGGAGATTGAGCTTGAAATAAAACAATCAAACTTGCTGTGGAATTGTGTAGGTAATCCAGTTGAAACAGAAACAAATCTACTGTAAATACAGATACTGCTAGGAAACAAGACTGATTTAAATCTGAATAATAATAGAATGTAAATGATACTTGGCTTCCAGTTTTGTCAGCCACAAAAATCTGGTAGTTTGGATTTGCTGAGACCTGTATTTGATGGTTCTGCACTGTTTGGTGGTGAATTGATGTATGACAAGCTAGGTGGTGAATTGATGTATGACAAGCTAGGTGGTGAATTGATGTATGACAAGCTAGGTGGTGAATTGATGTATGACAGGCTAGGTGGTGAATTGATGTATGACAGGCTAGGTGGTGAATTGATGTATGACAAGCTAGGTGGTGAATTGATGTATGACAAGCTAGGTGGTGAAATGATGTATGACAAGCTAGGTGGTGAATTGATGTATGACAGGCTAGGTGGTGAATTGATGTATGACAAGCTAGGTGGTGAATTGATGTATGACAGGCTAGGTGGTGAATTGATGTATGACAGGCTAGGTGGTGAATTGATGTATGACAAGCTAGGTGGTGAATTGATGTATGACAAGCTAGGTGGTGAATTGATGTATGACAGGCTAGGTGGTGAATTGATGTATGACAGGCTAGGTGGTGAATTGATGTATGACAGGCTAGGTGGTGAATTGATGTATGACAAGCTAGGTGGTGAATTGATGTATGACAAGCTAGGTGGTGAATTGATGTATGACAAGCTAGGTGGTGAATTGATGTATGACAAGCTAGGTGGTGTGAGGGCCTTTGGGGCGTGGGTGAACAGTGGAGAGGCTTAAATAGATCATTACCGTCTGCGGAGATTGGCACTGCAGGGAGTTACCAGTGGATCTGGCCGACGCTCAAGGGAAGGGCGAGAGATGTACGGTCAGACAGTTACTGGTACCATCGGAATTGGAACTCTTTGCTGGCTGCTGAAGATGGGGATGGGGCGCCTAATTGGGAGTTACTACTGTTATTATGTCGATTCTTAATTCAACATTCGTTCAGCATGGAGGTGGATTGGTTAAGCTCATCATTTTATTGTATTGTTAAGTACCATGCAAATCTACCTGTCACTAAAAATAACAGTAGATGATGAAGAAACTACAAATGTCACAGACCTTGTATCTAGGCTCCACAATAAACAGCAGTGGAGAATGTTCAACAAAAGTCAAAAGGTCGATGGTCATAGAAATACAAAGATTAAACAGCGTTAAACATCTGTCATAGAAATACAAAGATTAAACAGCGTTAAACATCTGTGGTTAAGCTCCATCAAGGAAATCAAAGTCAGAATTCTGAAAACATGCATCTTCCCTCTGGCAACATACGGATGTGAGTCATGGACTGTCTCGCAGTCCTTTAGGAAGAAAATAGCGGCTCTTGAGCTGAAATGCTATAGACAGAAGGGTCTGAACCAAATTCTCACAAGATATGTGTGTGTATGCTGATGCTGTACCACCAAGATGCTTTGGCCAGCAGCTTTGTTCCAAAATATAGGGACCAGAAATCTCTGGCCGGTTGTAATGAAAACTTGATTTCCTCCCAGAGTCTGATGCTGCGGCTTTCAATGTCACCTCTGCCAAGCTTGGCTCTTCCGCGTCTTCTGATGATGGTCATAAAGAGGTGAGTAGCAGTACGGAAGCAGGAGTTGGTTACAAATATTAGCATGATCTTCTGGGTGTTGTTAATTTGTTTTCATGGCCTTGTGACTGCTTATAGAGTTCAAATGATGAAAGCAGAGCTAGAGGTGGACCATGCATGTGATGGATAGATAGAATATCTGAGGCCTTAAATACCATCTGCATAGTACATACCAAGGTTCGAACCCAATTTCTCTTCAAAACTTAATGCTGAAAGGCAGAACAGCACTAGAGAATAAGAATAAGAAGAAGTGACTGCTTATAGAGTGATGTTGTTTGCCATGGAAATATTTCTTTGATCCTGTGGTCAGTGTTGTGTGATTGTGTTTCTGTTACTGTTACAGCTTAATGTCTGTAATTTTGTTGCTTGATCAGTTGACCACTGTTGTATCGTCATTTTGATTGTGTTACAGCCAGCTATCCCACTTATCCTATAACCTACCATACCACGTATCCTATAGCCTACCATACAATGTATCCTGTAGCCTACCATACCACTTATCCTGTAGCCTACCATACCACTTATCCTGTAACCTACCATACCACGTATCCTATAGCCTACCATACAATGTATCCTGTAGCCTACCATACCACTTATCCTGTAGCCTACCATACCACTTATCATGTAGCCTACCATACCACTTATCCTGTAGCCTACCATACCACTTATCATGTAGCCTACCATACCACTTATCCTGTAGCCTACCATACCACTTATCATGTAGCCTACCATACCACTTATCATGTAGCCTACCATACCACTTATCATGTAGCCTACCATACCACTTATCCTGTAGCCTACCATACCACTTATCCTGTAGCCTACCATACCACTTATCCTGTAGCCTACCATACCACTTATCCTGTAGCCTACCATACCACGTATCCTGTAGCCTACCATACCACGTATCCTATAGCCTATATGGTTTTATCATTTAACTTTGGAAGATCTTTTTTGAAAAATGTGGCCAGGTTTTGATAATATGTGTGTTAGTGATGATTGAGAATAAATTGACTGTTAATGTGAATTTCAAAGATTTGACAATATCATGTGTGTAAGTGTGATTGAGAATAAATTGACTGTTAATGTGAATTTCAAAGATTTGACAATATCATGTGTGTTAGTGATGATTGAGAATAAATTGACTGTTAGTGTGTATTTCAAAGATTTGACAATATAATTTCATTGCATGGGCATTGTGCATTTGTTTAGATGTAGATATTTCTTTGCATTGCATTCCTTTGTTATCTACCCCTCTTCATTGGCTCTGTTCCGTTCGTTCGTCCATCGCAAGGGATGAGGACCACTCTGTCTTGTATCCGTCATGAAACCGCAGTTGAATGTTTGTAAGTCCGGAGGTGACTTACAAGTCCAATAAGTGCCAGGAAGAGTCTGGGACAGTGAGGGCAGGGCACAGTGTCTGTAGACAAAGGGCCACGGAAAAGTGACTAGCGTGATGAATACGATTAAAGTGAGGAAGAGTTGTGCAATTTTGTCAACCTCGCTCTCTTGTCTGTATCCAGCTGAATCCAATGGCAGGCACAAGTCGAGACAGCTGGAGATAAACATTGCTTTTAAATACTGTTAACTCCCCGTGTGGGTTCTGGGGCCCCATTATGAGGAAAACAAGAATAGACCCTCTGCCTCCCCAACAAGCATGTCATAAGAGTTGACTAATTGGGGGCTTCCTTCGAAGTCAGAATGCCTCTTCCTGAGAGGCAGGGAACTAACAATCTGCATACAATTAATTCAGATCTGTAAAATAGTGTGCATGCAACACTCAGGTTCTGGAACAAGACTAAAGTCCAGAGGTGGACAAACAACCAGAACTTTCTGCTAAAGTTTACAGACGGTGCACACGAAGAAGAAGAAGCACTGTTAACTTGAAAGCATTTGGTGCGGTAGGACGGAGAATTTTATCATAAAAAAAGAGCTCAGTAGATCAGAAAGATTGGGAGCCACAATTTTAAAGGCTAGACATGACACTGATGCGGATATAAATTAGCACAGGCATAAATAAGCATGAGTATGTTCTGTCTCAGGTAAAGATATACATGCTTATATTCTGACACATATAAATAGACAGCTCTTTGTTTCCACCTATGTATATATATACATATATGCAACAAATCCCCGCCACACACAGAACACATCCACCCCACACATACTGATCTACATGCACGTAAATATACATGTTTAGAGACCCCCCCCCCCCCCCCTGCCGCACACACACACATGCACATACATATGCACACACTCACCATCTATATATGTAACTTTACACACACATATATAAATGTTTTTGCAACATTTACATATGAATATAAAAATACAACACAGATTCAAGCATCTACAAATGCACACATTGCTTTGCAGTCAGAACATGAAGATGCTAGCTACCTCTATCGCACTGACCTAGATTCCCACCAGCAGGGCTATTACGATGTGATCATTGACCCAGAGCCACAGGTACCTTGTGTTTGTGGCGAGTCCAGCTTTCACCTGGCTGGCCCAGTCCCAGTTGTCTCTCTTGTTAACCCTTTTCCTCAGGAACACTAAGGAAAAAAGGTGTTCTTGCTTGTCTCGTGAGTGACCTCGCTTGTCTCTTGAGTGACCTCTCTTGTCTTATGAGTGTCCTTGCTTGTCTCATGAGTGTCATCACTTGTCTCACGAATGTCGTCACTGTCTTAGGAGTGTCCTTACTTGTCTCATGGGTGTCCTCACTTGTCTTCTGAGTGTCTTCACTTGTCTCATAGGTGTCCTGACCTGTTTGATATGTGTCCTTATAGCTTGCCATACTGCTTATCCTATAGCCTTCCATATCACTCATCTTACAAACTACCATACCTCTTTTCCTAAACATACTCTACCACTTATCTCATAGCCGATAGCCGGTCATAACACCTGCCTGACCTAGTACATACAATAGTTGCCTGTCATATCTTATGTTTTCACGTCTCTTTTAGGGCTAAAACTTAGAGACAACCCCTACCTAGCTTGTAATCTACTGTGTCTTATGTATTGTCTTACCACTTATCATTTCATCATCTACTTCACTGTAACAAAGCTAGGTGTTGTGAGGGCCCTTTTGGGGCGAGTGAACAGTGCCAAAGCACAGATGGATCAGTACGGTCTGGAGAGAAATGGTGCTGCGAGGAGAGGTTTCTATTTGACGATCAGTACTCAAGGGAAAAGTGAGACGGATATACAATCAGACTGTTGCTGGTACCATTGGAATTGGAACTTACTGCTGAGGATAGGGATGGAGCACTTATGGGAATGTCAGTTCTTTATTAAACTCTCTTTATCCATGCTGGCAGTTACTGTCACATGGATTTACACACCTGGCCATGCTGGCATAAAAGGGTAAGGAGCGAGTGGACCAACACATGTGGGGAGAAGCATTGACGGGGCTGAGAATAATGACATATCTGTGACGCTAACACAATTGCATAACATGGGAGTAAAGCATGGTAAAGCATGTCTATGCCACCCTCTAGGTGGAGATTTGAATCCTTATAACCAACCTCTCATGAGAACAATTAGTAGAAGTACCTTGGAGTGGTTGCTGCATCAGAGGACTGAGCAGGCATGGGAATGTTGTGCAATGATGTCTGTTATGATAAAATAACATAACAGCAAGTTACTGTCGTGTTTGTTGCACATGTTTGTCAGTGTGAAGACCTGCCCTCCTTTGATGACGCCGCCGAGGACATCCCTCAGTTTTTATCTGAGGACATGTCTCAGCCACCCCTGTTCTCCTTACCCGAAGATCTCTTGGCTCCACCTCCTCCGGGGTTTCTGCCTGAAGATGCTTGTCACAGACCTAGGTATCGTTATTACGAATTCGATAAAGACAAAGAGGAAGACATCAAGGTGAAACCGACGCCAGAAGACATCAGGGTCAATCATCCGGAAGATGCCAAGGTAAAACAGCTGATTATACATCTGAGAGGTGCCAAGGTCAGAGTTGAATGGTCTTGACGACATTGTGTTCCAGTTTTCTTCATTTATTCGGCGGTTTCCAGCGACCGCAAGTGTTTGAGTCGGGTTTTTTTTTTTTTGGTTTAGAGTTTTTCACATTGCCATTGGTTGTTTTATTATAGCTTTTGATTATTGCTTTGTTGCTCTGTTTATTGTTGAATGTCATGTGTTTTTTTATTACTATTTTTTATTGTTTTTTAGTGTGTGTGTGTTAGTTTGGAAGATAATTGTGTGTCTGTGGAAAGATGATGATGCTGTATGTTGTACATTTTCTCTATAAGATGTTGTACAGGTTCGTAAGATAATGTTAATGTATGTTTTATGTGACCAGAAGAAAACGATGATGTCCAGGGCTGGAGGGTATGTTGAAAAAGGGAGGAATTGGTAATGGCTATGTTAAATGGAGGAAAAGGTAATGGATATGTTAAATGGAGGAAGTGGTAATGGGTATGTTAAATGGAGGAAAAGGTAATGGGTATGTTAAATGGAGGAAAAGGTAATGGGTATGTTAAAAGGACAAAGTGATAATTGTTATGTAAAATAGAGGAAGTGGTAATGGCTATGGTAAAAGGAGGAAGTGGTAATGGCTGTGGTAAAAGGAGGAAGTGGTAATGGGTACATTTAAGGGAAGAAGTAGTAATGGCTATGGTAAAAGGAGGAAGTGGTAATGGCTATGGTAAAAGGAGGAAGTGATAATGGGTACATTTAAGGGAGGAAGTGGTAATGGGTACATTTAAGGGAGGAAGTGTTAATGGCTGTGGTAAAAGGAGGAAGTGGTAATGGGTACATTTAAGGGAGGAAGTGGTAATGGCTATGGTAAAAGGAGGAAGTGATAATGGGTACATTTAAGGGAAGAAGTAGTAATGGCTATGGTAAAAGGAGGAAGTGGTAATGGCTATGGTAAAAGGAGGAAGTGATAATGGGTACATTTAAGGGAGGAAGTGGTAATGGGTACATTTAAGGGAGGAAGTAGTAATGGCTGTGGTAAAAGGAGGAAGTGGTAATGGCTGTGGTAAAAGGAGGAAGTGGTAATGGGTACATTTAAGGGAGGAAGTGGTAATGGCTATGGTAAATGGAGGAAGTGATAATGGGTACATTTAAGGGAGGAAGTGGTAATGGCTATGGTAAATGGAGGAAGTGATAATGGGTACATTTAAGGGAGGAAGTGGTAATGGCTATGGTAAAAGGAGGAAGTGATAATGGGTACATTTAAGGGAAGAAGTGGTAATGGCTATGGTAAATGGAGGAAGTGATAATGGGTACATTTAAGGGAGGAAGTGGTAATGGCTATGGTAAAAGGAGGAAGTGATAATGGGTATGGTAAAAGGAGGAAGTGGTAATGGGTACATTTAAGGGAGGAAGTGGTAATGGCTATGGTAAAATAGAGGAAGTGGTAATGGCTATGGTAAAAGGAGGAAGTGGTAATGGCTGTGGTAAAAGGAGGAAGTGGTAATGGGTACATTTAAGGGAGGAAGTGGTAATGGCTATGGTAAATGGAGGAAGTGGTAATGGGTACATTTAAGGGAGGAAGTGGTAATGGCTATGGTAAAAGGAGGAAGTGATAATGGGTACATTTAAGGGGGGAAGTGGTAATGGCTATGGTAAAAGGAGGAAGTGATAATGGGTACATTTAAGGGAGGAAGTAATGGCTATGGTAAAATAGATTAAGTGGTAATGGCTATGGTAAAAGGATGAAGTGGTAATGGCTGTGGTAAAAGGAGGAAGTGGTAATGGCTATGGTAAAAGGAGGAAGTGGTAATGGCTGTGGTAAAAGGAGGAAGTGGTAATGGGTATGGTAAAAGGAGAAAGTGGTAATGGCTATTGTAAAAGGAGGAAGTGGTAATGGCTATGGTAAAAGGAGGAAGTGGTAATGGCTATGGTAAAAGGAGGAAGTGGTAATGGCTATTGTAAAAGGAGGAAGTGGTAATGGCTATGGTAAAAGGAGGAAGTGGTAATGGCTGTGGTAAAAGGAGGAAGTGGTAATGGGTATGGTAAAAGGAGGAAGTGGTAATGGCTATTGTAAAAGGAGGAAGTGGTAATGGCTATGGTAAAAGGAGGAAGTGGTAATGGCTATGGTAAAAGGAGGAAGTGGTAATGGCTATGGTAAAAGGAGGAAGTGGTAATGGCTATGGTAAAAGGAGGAAGTGGTAATGGCTGCGGTAAAAGGAGGAAGTGGTAATGGGTATGGTAAAAGGAGGAAGTGGTAATGGCTATGTTAAAAGGAGGAAGTGGTAATGGCTATGGTAAAAGGAAGAAGTGATAATGGCTATGGTAAAAGGAGGAAGTGATAGTGGGTACATTTAAGGGAGGAAGTGGTAATGGGTATGTTGAAGGGAGGAAGTGGTAATAGGTATGTCAAATAGTAATGGGTATATTAAATGGTAATGGCTACGTTAGATGGTAATTGGTATGTCAGATAGTAATGGATATGTTAAAAAGTAATGGGTATAATAAATGGAAGAAGTGGTAATAGGTATGTTGAATGGTGTTGCCTGGAGCAAATGGTAATTTTATCTATTAGCTGGAGAAGAGGGTAATATCATGTGTTACCTGGAGAAGATAGTAATATCATATATTACCTGGAGAAGAGGGTAATATCATATGTTACCTGGAGAAGAGGGTAATGTCATAAGTTACCTGGAGAAGAGGGTAATATCATATGTTACCTGGAGAAGAGGGTAATATCATATGTTACCTTGAGAGAAGGGTAATATCATATGTTACCTGGAGAAGAGGGTAATATCATATGTTACCTGTAGAAGAGGGTAATGTATGTTACCTGCAGAAGAGGGTAATATTATATGTTACCTGGAGAAGAGGGTAATATCATATGTTACCTGGAGAAGAGGTAATGTCATATGTTACCTGGAGAAGAGGATAATATCATATGTAACCTAGAGAATAAGATAATATCATATATTACTTGGAGAAGAGGGTAATGGCATATGTTACCTGGAGAAAAGGGTAGTGTGAAATGCTACCCAGAGAAAGTAGTATTGGTGTCTGTTACCTGAAGACAGTTTTAACCTTCTCTATTACCTGGAAAAGATTATAAAGTTCTGTTATCCCCTGCAGGCAACAAGGCAGAAGATCCAAGAAGAGATCATGGACATCCAGGTAGTCGGTTCTGAGATCATTTGTTTTATATTATTCAGGGACTAGTGTTCTGTTTGTGTGAGATGATGTTTTTGTGTGTCACATATTCCCAGTGCGGGTTCTGGGGCCTCATGTGGGGAGAAGGGGTGTTTGTAGACCCACTGCCCTTTCCCCCCCCCCCCCCCCCCCCAACAAGCATGTTGTAAAAGATGACTAATCAGGAATGTTTCCTTCAAAGTCGGAGGGCATCTGCCTGAGAGATGTGGAACCAACAGTCTGCATATAAATGAGCTAGATCTGTAAAACCTTGGAGTCTGCATAATTTGAGTTCTGGAACAAAACCTAAATCCAGAAGTGGATAAACAACCAGAATTTTCTGCCAGAGTTTGCAGCCGGTGAATGCTAAGAAGATGATGATGATATCTTGTCTGTGTAGTCAGTGTCTGTGAGGTAGGAGGGATGGATCATTTGTGTCATGTGTCCAGGGTTTGATAAAATACTGATGTGTGACGTTGCTTTCCTGCATCAAGTTCCTGTGTTTGTTCCTTGGCCCCAGTTTAGGGTGTTGTGTTCCAGTGTTTGTTCCATGGCCACAGTAAGGGGGATCGTATCCTAGTGTTTGTTTCATGGCCCCAGCTTGGAGGATCAAGTTCCTGTGTTTGTTCCTTGGCCACAGTTTGGGCTGTTGTGTTCCAGTGTTTGTTCCATGGCCACAGTAAGGGGGATCGTATCCCAGTGTTTGTTTCATGGCCCCAGTTTGGGGGATCGTATCCCAGTGTTTGTTCCATGGCCCCAGCTTGGAGGATCAAGTTCCTGTGTTTGTTCCTTGGCCTCAGTTTAGGTTGTTGTGTTCCAGTGTTTGTTCCATGGCCACAGTAAGGGGGATCGTATCCCAGTGTTTGTTTTATGGCCCCAGTTTGGGGGATCGTATCCCAGTGTCTGTTCCATGGCCCCAGCTTGGAGGATCAAGTTCCTGTGTTTGTTCCTTGGCCACAGTTTGGGCTGTTGTGTTCCAGTGTTTGTTCCATGGCCACAGTAAGGGGGATCGTATTCCAGTGTTTGTTCCCTAGTCCCAGTTTGTGGGATCATGTTCCAGTGTTTGTTCCATGACACCAGTTTGGGAGATTGTGTCCCATTATTAGTTCCATGGCCTCAGTTTGGGTATCGTGTCCCAATGTTTGTTCCATAGCCCCAGTTTTAGAATTCTTAACAAGCATATTGTGAAAGGGAACTATTTAAGGATTTAGTTAAATAGGCTATGTTGGGCCAAAAGGAGAATATATCACAGGTGAGCTGTAAACCACAACACAGCTGGCCCACACTTTTATTGACTGACACTGAAGAAGAAGAAGAAGAAGGTATCATGTCTGTGTTGTCAGTGAACAAACACACTTTATTTACAAAGGGTTAAGAATTGTACATTCAGGCCCATCTAACATTCTGCCCTTCCAATCTCTTTTGGTTCACTCACAGTCTTCAAGATAGGAAACATTGATAATGTATTTCACATTTTTGTTTATATATTGCCCTGCCGGCAAGCTCATTCATTCCCTCTTACTCCGGAGTGCCCAGGCACAAAATTAAAACTGATTCCTGTCATAGATTTTCTCAGCAACTAAATCATTTTCTTTGAATCCATCCTGTCTTGATCTTTCTTAGCATGCTCATAGAATGACTTACAAAGTACACATGGGAGAAATTATGTGTGTCTCTTGATGAAATACTGACATGGACTACTAGTAAAATACTGATATGGACTACAAGTAAAATACTGACATGGATTACTAGTAAAATACTGACATGAACTACTAGTAAAGTACTCATATAAACTACTAGTAAAATACTTATATGAACTACTGGTAAAATACTGACATGAACTACTAGTAAAATACTGACATGGATTACTAGTAAAATACTGACATGAACTACTAGTAAAATACTCATATAAACTACTAGTAAAATACTTATATGAACTACTGGTAAAATACTGACATGAACTACAAGTAAAATACTGACATGGACTACTAGTAAAATACTTATATGAACTACTGGTAAAATACTGATATGGACTACAAGTAAAATACTGACATGGATTACTAGTAAAATACTGACATGAACTACTAGTAAAGTACTCATATAAACTACTAGTAAAATACTTATATGAACTACTGGTAAAATACTGACATGAACTACAAGTAAAATACTGACATGGATTACTAGTAAAATACTGACATGAACTACTAGTAAAATACTCATATAAACTACTAGTAAAATACTTATATGAACTACTAGTAAAATACTGACATGGACTACAAGTAAAATACTGACATGGACTACTGGTAAAATACTTATATGAACTACTAGTAAAATACTGACATGGACTACTAGTAAAATACTTATATGAACTACTAGTAAAATACTTATATGAACTACTAGTAAAATACTGACATGGACTACAAGTAAAATACTGACATGGACTACTAGTAAAATACTGACATGGATTACTAGTAAAATACTGACATGGACTACTAGTAAAATACTTATATGAACTACTAGTAAAATACTTATATGAACTACTAGTAAAATACTTATATGAACTACTAGTAAAATACTGACATGGACTACAAGTAAAATACTGACATGGACTACTAGTAAAATACTTATATGAACTACTAGTAAAATACTTATATGAACTACTAGTAAAATACTTATATGAACTACTAGTAAAATACTGACATGGACTACAAGTAAAATACTGACATGGACTACTAGTAAAATACTGACATGGATTACTAGTAAAATACTGACATGGACTACTAGTAAAATACTTATATGAACTACTAGTAAAATACTTATATGAACTACTAGTAAAATACTGACATGGACTACTAGTAAAATACTGACATGAACTACTAGTAAAATACTTATATGAACTACTAGTAAAATACTGACATGGACTACTAGTAAAATACTTATATGAACTACTAGTAAAATACTTATATGAACTACTAGTAAAATACTTATATGAACTACTAGTAAAATACTGACATGGACTACTAGTAAAATACTAACATGAACTACTAGTAAAATACTAATCTTAGATTTTGTTTTAAAACTCTCGTCTGTTTTGTCCAACAGTTGAGGTACCAGAAGGAGATAGAGCGATTAGAGAAGGATAACAGAGAGCTGCGTAAACAATTGTTGTTGAAAGAACAAAAGACGGGGGGAAAGCCACGAGCAATGAAGGTAAACATACAAATAGAGAAGATCCCAGTGTGGGTTTCTGGGTTCACACTTTGGGGTAAAAAAAAGAATAGACTCACGGCGTCTGCCTGAGAGGTAAGGAAACAACAGTATGACAGATAAGTCAGATCTGTAAAACAGATGTGCATGCAAAACTCTGAAATTTCTGCGAAAGTTCTGAAACAAGACCAAAGACCAGAAGTGGACAAATAACCAGATCTTTCCACCGGATCCAATTTTTGCCAAACTGCTGAATAAAGTGTGCCAAAAAAAAGTTTAATTGGGCACACAGGCCTGTCTAACATTCTGGCCCTCTGGCCTCATTTCGTGCAGACCATTATTACCTAAAGGGATAAATGGAGTTTTTAGGAGCTAGTATGAGTTTGATAGGTTTAACTTGCTAGTAGAGTTACCTAAAGGGATAAATGGAGTTAACTTGTAGGAGCTAATAGAGTTACCTAAAGGGATAAATAGAGTTAACTTGTTGGAGCTAGTAGAGTTACCTAAAGGGATAAATGGAGTTAACTTGTAGGAGCTAGTGGAGTCGCTTAAAGAGATAAATGGAGTTAACTTGTAGGAGCTAGTGGAGTTACCTAAAGGGATAAATGGAGTTAACTTGTAGGAGCTAGTAGAGTTACCTAAAGGGATAAATAGAGTTAACTTGTAGTAGAGCTAAAGTAAATGGAGTTACCTTGTAGGAGCTAGTGGATAAAGAGATAAATGGAGTTAACTTGTAGGAGCTAGTGGAGTCGCTTAAAGAGATAAATGGAGTTAACTTGTAGGAGCTGGTGGAGTTACCTAAAGGGATAAATGGAGTTAACTTTTAGGAGCTAGTGGAGTTACCTAAAGAGATAAATGGAGTTAACTTGTAGGAGCTAGTAGAGTTACCTAAAGGGATAAATGGAGTTAACTTGTAGGAGCTAGTGGAGTTACCTAAAGGGATAAATGGAGTTAACTTGTAGGAGCTAGTGGAGTCACCTAAAGAGATAAATGGAGTTAACTTGTAGGAGCTAGTGGAGTTACCTAAAGGCATAAATGGAGTTAACTTTTAGGAGCTAGTGGAGTTACCTAAAGAGATAAATGGTGTTAACGTGTAGGAGCTAGTGGAGTCGCTTAAAGAGATAAATGGAGTTAACTTGTAGGAGCTAGTGGAGTTACCTAACGAGATAAATGGGGTTAACTTGTGAGAGCTAGTAGAGTTACCTAAAGGGATAAATGGAGTTAACTTCTAGGAGCTAGTGGAGTTACCTAAAGGGATAAATGGAGTTAACTTGTGAGAGCTAGTGGAGCCACCTAAAGGGATAAATGGAGTTAACTTGTAGGAGCTAATGGAGTCACCTAAAGAGATAAATGGAGTTAACTTGTAGGAGCTAGTGGAGTCACCTAAAGGGATAAATGGAGTTAACTTGTAGGAGCTCGTGGAGTCGCTTAAAGAGATAAATGGAGTTAACTTGTAGGAGCTAGTGGAGTCACCTAAAGGGATAAATTGAGTTAACTTGTAGGAGCTAGTGGAGTTACCTAAAGAGATAAATGGAGTTAACTTGTAGGAGCTAGTGGAGTTACCTAAAGGGATAAATGGAGTTAACTTGTGAGAGCTAGTGGAGTCACCTAAAGGGATAAATGGAGTTAACTTGTAGGAGCTAGTAGAGTTACCTAAAGGGATAAATGGAGTTAACTTGTAGGAGCTTGTGGAGTCACCTAAAGAGATAAATGGAGTTAACTTGTAGGAGCTAGTAGAGTTACCTAAAGGGATAAATGGAGTTAACTTGTAGGAGCTAGTAGAGTCACCTAAAGGGATAAATGGAGTTAACTTGTGAGAGCTAGTAGAGTTACCTAAAGGGATAAATGGAGTTAACTTGTGAGAGCTAGTAGAATTACCTAAAGGGATAAATGGAGTTAACTTGTAGGAGCTAGTAGAGTTACCTAAAGGGATAAATGGAGTTAACTTGTGAGAGCTAGTGGAGTCACTTAAAGAGATAAATGGAGTTAACTTGTAGGAGCTAGTAGAGTTACCTAAAGGGATAAATGGAGTTAACTTGTAGGACTTGTGGAGTCACTTAAAGAGATAAATGGAGTTAACTTGTAGGAGCTTGTGGAGTCACCTAAAGAGATAAATGGAGTTAACTTGTAGGAGCTAGTAGAGTTACCTAAAGGGATAAATGGAGTTAACTTGTAGGAGCTAGTAGAGTCACCTAAAGGGATAAATGGAGTTAACTTGTGAGAGCTAGTAGAGTTACCTAAAGGGATAAATGGAGTTAACTTGTAGGAGCTAGTAGAGTTACCTAAAGGGATAAATGGAGTTAACTTGTGAGAGCTAGTGGAGTCACTTAAAGAGATAAATGGAGTTAACTTGTAGGAGCTAGTAGAGTTACCTAAAGGGATAAATGGAGTTAACTTGTAGGAGCTTGTGGATTCACTTAAAGAGATAAATGGAGTTAACTTGTAGGATCGCATCTTGTCATTCAGGGAACACGTTGACCATGTGATAACAAAAGCATGCAAAGGTCTATCTGCAATGAGGATTATGGCTGCTTCCAATATCGAGCAAAGACTACTAATACTTCTATTCTACGGTCTGGTCCTTTCCCCCATTGAATATGCTCTGGCCATCCTCACTGTCAGTGCTACCCAGATTGAACGACTCGAAAAGGTGCAAAATGAAGCCATGCGCATTGTTTTGGGATGTACTAGAGACACATCCTGTGGAGCAATGAGGTATCTACTTGACTTTCCAACAATGAACCAAAGGATCAGGATGTGGAGGGCTCAGGCATATCTCAAAATATGTGCTGATAAGAAACACCCACTGCATCAAGCGCTTTTTAGTGAAAAGGGCGACAGACTGAAGAGGGGGAAATCGTGGCTAGGTCAGGCAGAAGATGTTATTAGGCAAATATGCAGCCTAACGGACATCATACCTGGTGCAGAATGGATACCTGTGCCTCAGGCGTTTATTTGTACATTTTCCTGTATTGTCACACTCAACAGGCGATGTAGAGAAGAGAATCCTGTTGCTGTTAATGCAGAGGTCAACGCTCTCATTGGTGAAAATTCAGACGAAGCACTTGCAATAATCTATACAGACGGATCCGTTATACGCCAAAGAAGAAGCGCATGGGCATTTACAGCACGCTCAGCGGGCAGAACAGTCAAAGAAGCCAACGGCGCCTTCTCCATGACAACCAGCAGCATGACGATGGAGGTGATGGCAGTGACACAAGCGCTTGCCTGGCTTGAAACACAAAAATACACCCGCGTGTGTATACTCAGTGATTCAATGAGTATGATCCGGAGGGTTCAGGCAGGTTCAGTGCGAAGACAATGGCTTGAATCATTACAGAAGTCCACTGTCCGTGGAGTCACCTTTATTTTTGTTCCGGGACACGCAGGCGTCGATGGAAATGAAAGAGCTGACAGGTTGGCTGGATCCGCTATCACTACCGACGGTCAGCCTATGGATCATGCTGATATTATCAATGCCCTCAGAGAAATGGGAAGGATAGAGGACTTTGGTGGCAGTGAATCCACATCACTCGCCAGAATGGCAGACTTGGGAATTAAGATCGGCACAGCAAAAAACGAGACGCACACCAGCTACGCCAGAAGACTTGTTAATCAACATAGAACTGGTACTATTAGCCATCGGACGTTAGGGTTCATACTGAGGGGAGGATCTGAGCACCTATGGACATGTCCGGAGTGCAATGAGGATAACCCAACTAACTAACTAACTAACTAACTAACTAACTAACTAACTAACTAACTAACTAACTAACTAACTAACTAACTAACTTGTAGGAGCTTGTGGAGTCACCTAAAGAGATAAATGGAGTTAACTTGTAGGAGCTAGTAGAGTTACCTAAAGGGATAAATGGAGTTAACTTGTAGGAGCTAGTAGAGTTACCTAAAGGTATAAATGGAGTTAACTTGTGAGAGCTAGTGGAGTCACCTAAAGGGATAAATGGAGTTAACTTGTAGGAGCTTGTGGAGTTACCTAAAGCGATAAATCTAGTTAACTTGTTGGAGCTAGTGGAGTCACCTAAAGGGATAAAATGGAGTTAACTTGTAGGGGCTAGTAGAGTCCGTAAGGAGAACAAATGTCCTTGTCAAGAGAGCTGCGCTGCTTCAATGCTTAGTGACATCATTTGCAATGCAATCCTTGATGTTGACCAGGGTTACATTGCACATTGAGCAGTTTAGAAGAGTCGGTTCTCGTAGCTTTTAAACAGTGGAATGAGAATCACACTATGGAAGAGATTAGGGCATCACTACATAATATTCTCATAGTTAGCAACAAATTCATTGAAGTGGCTGCTTTAAAAAAAAAATGAGGCAAAATGTTGCAGATGTACTTTAGCCCCCTTTTCAGCGTGAAGATGGCACTTGATCTGGCCTTCTATGTTGTGCATAATGTGATGGTTACCTGTGTTGTTAATGCCCAAACAGTTATTACTGTGATTTGTTGGTAGCAAAATGTTCTGCTATGGCTTTTTGTCTTCAGAAGTCATTGATTGACATGTACTCTGAAGTCCTGGATGAACTGAACCAGTTTGATGCCAGCTTCAGTACTCAAGATAACCTGCCGAGGGTGAGTGTCACTGTATGGGTTGTGTGCCGAGGGTGAGTGTCACTGTATGGGTTGTGTGCCGAGGGTGAGTGTCCCTGTATGGGTTGTGTGCTGAGGGTGAGTGTCACTGTATGGGTTATGTGCTGAGGGTGTGTGTCCCTGTATGGGTTATGTGCTGAGGGTGTGTGTCCCTGTATGGGTTATGTGCCGAGGGTGTGTGTCTCTGTATGGGTTATGTGCTGAGGGTGTGTGTCCCTGTATGGGTTGTGTGCTGAGGGTGTGTGTCCCTGTATGGGTTATGTGCTGAGGGTGTGTGTCCCTGTATGGGTTATGTGCTGAGGGTGTGTCACTGCATGGGTTATGTGCTGAGGGTGTGTGTCACTGTATGGGTTGTGTGCTGAGGGTGAGTGCCCCTGTATGGGTTGTGTGCTGAGGG